CTGCCGCGGCGAAGACGCGGCCCAGCGCCACCCCCAGCCCAGGCACGGCCATTATCTGGCCCGGGCAACATTGAGGGTGTTTGTTTTAGAACACGAGGGACCCGCAGCATTCGGGGGGCATCCACCAAGGCATCAGCACGCCGTCGGTCCGGCGTCGGATCCTTCGTAAATCAGAACTATTTTGCAGAGGTCACCGGTGGATTCGATCTTCCGTCTCCAATTCAACAGTTTCACGTGTGCATCAACTGAGGAGCCTGCCAATGTGCAAAATGAGAAGGAATCTTCCTCAAGAACATAGGAAGATACACCGCGACGAAGAGAAACATTGAAAGGAAATCCCGGTGTGAGTATGAACTAAGGAGCTGTCACATGCAAATGTCGCCACAAGAGAGAGAGAGAGAGAGAGAGAGAGAGAGAGAGAGAGAGAGAGAGAGAGAGAGAGAGAGAGAGAGAGAGAGAGAGTTTTCCATCCATAGGATGAGCAAAATGGGAAGGAATCTGTTGCTAGAACATGGAAATATACACTGCGACATTTTTGGTGCTTGGCAGTGTGTATTTCCATGTTGTGGCAGTGGATACTTCCATGTTCTGGGGGAAGATTCAATCGCATTTTCATCATTTGCTGAAACGGGGCAATATCGGGGTGTGTGTGTGTGTGTGTGTGTGTGTGTGTGTGTGTGTGTGTGTGTGTGTGTGTGTGTGTGTGTGTGTGTGTGTGTGTGTGTGTGTGTGAGAGAGAGAGAGAGAGTGTGTGTGTGTGTGTGAGAGAGAGAGAGTGTGTGTGTGTGTGAGAGAGAGAGAGAGAGAGTGTGTGTGTGTGTGTGAGAGAGAGAGAGAGAGACGCGAAACATTCACAATATCACACGTTTGCGCTTGCCATACCCGCACCTTCGATAGACGGGCACCAACCAACCCACACCCGCACCCTCGATCGAAGGCCGCCAACAACCAACCCGAAACTTTGGCGGCCTCGTTTCCAAGTGCCATGCACACCCGCCCAGCCACCCCTCCGGGAAAGAAACCACCGCCACCGAAAATGAAAATTTAAAAACAGCCCTTCGACCACTGCCCACCAGACTTGAACCTCACACTACGAAACGTTAAAAAAACAAAAAAAAAACGAAATACAGCACTTCTATCGTCGCCCACCAAACTCGACCCTCACAGTGCGAAACGAAAAAAAAAAAAAAAAAACGAAAAACAACACTTCGACTGCTGCCCGCCGGACTCTAACTTCGCACTACGAAATGAAAAAAAAAAAAAAAAAAACGGCCACAAGCAAAAAACCGCGCTGCACACATGCGGGAAAAAGGTCCCAGCGGGACACGTGACACGAGATGCTCCCTTGCCTTTAAGAGTATAGAGATAGAGATTCCATAGTCGTAACAGTCTTGACGGATTCAGCTTTTCTTTTCTCCTTCTTTTTCTTTTCTTTCCCTCCCAACTTACCGGAATGAGCAAATTTCAATTCTCAAGTTTCCCTTCGCCATGTGCTGGTGGTTTAAAGCGTGTAGAAAGTGTTGCGCGCGGCTTTCACCACCCCCCTTTTTCCTCTATTTATTGTGTCCTCCTTGCCCAGGGGGCATTCTAATCTGCTCCTCTGTAGAGCCAAAAAAGGACAATTTTCAATTTTGACCCCCACCTTTGGTGGCTGAGAGAACATTCACAAAGCTGTTGCTTGATAGCCCTGCAAAATAACTTAATAGCCCCAAAGGACAACGCTCCTTTGGCTTGTTTTTTGGGAGGGGGGGAATTGGGAGAGCACATGGACGTTGACTGGAGTGGGGACTGGCGCTGACATTCCGCACATCTCAGAAAAACACTGAAACCGTGGACGGCTCGTGCTCAGTCGCTGGCCGCCCTTTAGCATCAGCACGTACACCTCACCGCCTTACGACAGGCGATTCCGGACACTTGGCTGCAAGTGCTCAGGGCCAGCGTTATCCTTCATAAGGATTGGTGGTGGGAGAATTCGAGACGCCACCTCAACCCTGGCACCTCTGTACAACTAAAAACATTGACACCACAACGGGGGATCTGCCCAACTCCATGCTTCCTGACAGTTGCGATTGGGAAACGTGGCAGGCCGACTTTTAGTCGGCGCAGCAATTGAAAATGCAGGATCAACCATACCCTTTAACCCCCATTCATGTGCTTAACACCAGTGCATTTTTCGAAGACCAGCGACCAATTCCACCTTTTTTCTTTTTTTGACGGGGAAAATTTTCCAACCATTTCTCTTCCAAAGCTGCCACACAATATGGTGGTTGACTGTAGGGAGCAATTTCCGCGCAATCAGGAAACAGTTTTGCAATCAGGACACAGTTTTTTTTCTGCACAACTGTTTCACAAGGTTTGTACACGAATTATACTATGATTAACTTGTTACCATTACTCTAAAATAGCTAATGCAAATGCAATGATAAATAGTCCAAAATTTCTCCACATTTATACCAATAATGGCACAAAAATCAAAATATTCGCAAAAAATTATTAAGTTTAAAATTCAAACAAATTGATTGCATTAACCATTAACTCCAGACAGATGAGAATTTTGACCATATTTTGACTTGAAAACCATATCCAAAAATTCCAAGAGAAAATGTCTGCGAATGTATATGCCCATTCAATGAAGTCAACGAGGTGGGTCTGCACACCCACCAAGGATATACAACTCTGCACCTCGCTTGGCTGGGGCTTTTCTCAGGCTATGGAGCTGGGGCTTTTCAGGAGGACATCCATGAAAACTGTGCATGCCGAATACAAGACTCAAACACACAACCAACCGCTTGGCAGGCTAACACCTTTACCATACCCTAAGTGGGCTGGGGTGAAAGTGAAGCCCCAAGATGAGTACTTCACCCCACCCCAGTTAAACATTGCCCCGATACACAGACAGATTAGCATGGCCCCCGTAAAGCGGGCCAATAAGAAAAAAGAATGAAACGACCTTCCTCTGGCTTCAGGCCCACGGGCCAATAAGAAAAAAGAATGAAACTGTCGTGCCGAAAGATACCCCATAGCCTCCCCAACTTCGCAGGCTGGCAATGGTCCCAATAAATTTAAAAGCTTGGATCAGTTCGAATAAACGCATCTAGGACTTGGAACTGTACGTGTCAAATGTTGAGTGGTGGCGCTCGTCCCATAATGGTATTTCTTTTTTTTCTCTTTTTTTTTTTTTTTTTTTTTCCACAACTGGGTATATCTATCTAGTCCCATAGTCCTGGTAATCTCGGTGCCCAATCCCGAGGACTCTCTTTTAATACATCGTCTACCGATCTGAATATTTATTTACATGTACAATTAATTTAATAATTTCGGAATAAAGTTCAATAAACAGTTCATTGAATTTAAACTAAACACACAGTCACACAACGAATAGGCATTCGCTTATAAAAAAAAATGAAAAAAAAAAGAAAAAAAAAACAAGCTACAGCATCACTCTGTATTATGTGGTGGGGTATCCTCATAGCTCGTAAATACTGACCACGACCACAGTGGGGATGGATATACACCCGATAATCCCTAATAAGCCCTACCCCCTCTCTCCCCCTTGCTTAACCCGTTTCCCCACTCCTCTTTCCTGCTCTTTGCCTGAGACACGCCTCCATTCCCCTTTTCTAACCGATTCCATACCCCGAACGGAGCATGCGCTGAATCGCAACTCGAACTAAGAATCATAATCTCCCAGGTCCGCCGAAATGGCTCAGCGAGGAGTGCCCGAGAATCATCCATCTAAGTACTGTCCCAATGTTACATTTTGTCCGCCGAAATTGGAAAGAAGGGCCGTGATCCACTCACACAAGGCAGGAGAGAATTACGGCGGTGTATCTTTCCATGCTCTAGCGCGAGATTCATTTACATTTTGTACATTTCGTGAAGTGGCGGGGCTAGGCGCGAAGTTGAGATCTTGGATGGCCCGTGCTTGCCGGTCATAAAGGGATAGTCCCAATGGCACCACACATGCTTAGACTCCCTGACACGACAGCAGTCCCCACTCTCAAAAGCCTGTCGAGATAATCCCAGCACAACACCAACTTTTGCAGACCAGCGGTCGACTCCTGGCAGTGGCCACTTTTGTAGTTGGCATCTCCGATCAAAACCATCCATCTATGGGCCTTGATCCGGTAATGCACATCACTCTTGTATCTGGACCAGGTAATGTTCCTAAAACAATGTTGTAACAATCCAAATCAACCCAGTCCGGTATGCAGCCAAGATACATTCATAATGTTGTGTAGTGGAGTGAACCCTATGCTGCCCAGGAAGCTGACCATGTTAGTCACAGAAGGGAGGGGAAGACGAACCCTCTCTCTCTCTCTCTCTCTCTCTCTCTCTCTCTCTCTCTCTCTCTCTCTCTCTCTCTCTCTCTCTCTCTCTCTCTCTCTCTCTCTCTGTGT